AGGTAAGGTTTTGAGCAAATTTGGAACTTCGACCCATCTACTGTACACCCACCGTAACTCAAGAAAGTGGCGCTATCCTGGCGCTATTTAGCGCACCAAATGTCCACCCTAGACGAAGTTTAGAGCAAATCTATGTTCTCGATCCCATACCGTATAACCACCATAACTATATGAAAAGATCCCAACATGCAAAGAGAGTATGAAATTCGTAATTAGCATGTCGAATAAGCCCTCTGGACCGAACTCCAGCCAAATTCATGATTTTGACTTCCTACCGCACACCTATCGTAATCACATGGGGAGACGTTCTGCGGAGAAAGTGTGATATTTGTAATCAGTATGTAAGATAACCCTTATAGACGAAGTTTGAGCAAGCTCTACGGCAAAAACAACTTTGGGATCCGGATAGCCGAATAGCGCCAAACTAATATTGCCTCGTAATCAGCATGCTCGATTACCCCCTGCGCCCACTCCCAGCTCCGTAGCTCAAACTTTGCAAAAAAATCGATAAAATCGTTGAAACTAATGGATAATCTTGAGAACTAACATTGGATTCGAAATCAGCATGTTCGATTACCCCTGTGCCAACTCCCAGCCTCGCAGGTCAAGCTCTAAAAAATAGATAAAAATCAATAAAATCGATATCGATCGGTGTCGAAAAGTAGCTTATGACACCCGCCGGTCCCGAAGTGTATGTGTGCCAAGTTTGGTCCGAATCGGTTTAGAAGTAAAAATTTCTGTTCGGAACATAAGTACAGACACACGTACACAAACAAACAGACATTCAGCTTTGTATATAAGATTAGCTGCTAATCTAATACTTGTTGGAAAATATCAATCGCTAAGTTCACAGTTTCTGTTGCAAGATTGATTTTCCACAAAGTTGTTTTAGCTGTATTCTTAAGGTTTGTACTTTTGTTGTAGGGGATCTTCCTTATTTTTTACTCGCAAGGGAAGGAAGATTAGTCGAAGTGGCATTTTAAAGATGAAATGTATGAGTTGTAGAGTTTGGGATTCTGATTCATATCTACCTTTGCTATCTGCTGCGGGCTCCTGGGTGGGGAGTCATGAAGGTTTTGGTGGGTAAAAATTTGAATGCAAGATTATTGTAAACTAGCTGGCAAACGCGGCTCCGCCCGGCCGTGTCATTATTGTATTCGTAATCAGCATGATTACCCCCCTGTGCCAATTCCCAGCCCCGTAGCTCAAACTTTGCAAAAAAATCGATAAAATCGTTGAAACTAATGGATAATCTTGAGAACTAACATTGGATTCGAAATCAGCATGTTCGATTACCCCTGTGCCAACTCCCAGCCTCGCAGGTCAAGCTCTAAAAAAATAGATAAAAATCAATAAAATCGATATCGATCGGTGTCGAAAAGTAGCTTATGACACCCGCCGGTCCCGAAGTGTATGTGTGCCAAGTTTGGTCCGAATCGGTTTAGAAGTAAAAATTTCTGTTCGGAACATAAGTACAGACACACGTACACAAACAAACAGACATTCAGCTTTATATATAAGATTAGCTGCTAATCTAATACTTGTTGGAAAATATCAATCGCTAAGTTCACAGTTTCTGTTGCAAGATTGATTTTCCACAAAGTTGTTTTAGCTGTATTCTTAAGGTTTGTACTTTTGTTGTAGGGGATCTTCCTTATTTTTTACTCGCAAGGGAAGGAAGATTAGTCGAAGTGGCATTTTAAAGATGAAATGTATGAGTTGTAGAGTTTGGGATTCTGATTCATATCTACCTTTGCTATCTGCTGCGGGCTCCTGGGTGGGGAGTCATGAAGGTTTTGGTGGGTAAAAATTTGAATGCAAGATTATTGTAAACTAGCTGGCAAACGCGGCTCCGCCCGGCCGTGTCATTATTGTATTCGTAATCAGCATGATTACCCCCCTGTGCCAATTCCCAGCCCCGTAGCTCAAACTTTGCAAAAAAATCGATAAAATCGTTGAAACTAATGGATAATCTTGAGAACTAACATTGGATTCGAAATCAGCATGTTCGATTACCCCTGTGCCAACTCCCAGCCTCGCAGGTCAAGCTCTAAAAAAATAGATAAAAATCAATAAAATCGATATCGATCGGTGTCGAACAGTAGCTTATGACACCCGCCGGCCCCGAAGTGTATGTGTGCCAAGTTTGGTCCGAATCGGTTTAGAAGTAAAAATTTCTGTTCGGAACATAGGTACAGACACACGTACACAAACAAACAGACATTCAGCTTTATATATAAGATTAGCTGCTAATCTAATACTTGTTGGAAAATATCAATCGCTAAGTTCACAGTTTCTGTTGCAAGATTGATTTTCCACAAAGTTGTTTTAGCTGTATTCTTAAGGTTTGTACTTTTGTTGTAGGGGATCTTCCTTATTTTTTACTCGCAAGGGAAGGAAGATTAGTCGAAGTGGCATTTTAAAGATGAAATGTATATTGTCTTGTAGAGTTTGGAATTCTGATTCATATCTACCTTTGCTATCTGCTGCGGGCTCCTGGGTGGGGAGTCATGAAGGTTTTGATGGGTAAAAATTTGAATGCAAGATTATTGTAAACTAGCTGGCAAACGCGGCTCCGCCCGGCCGTGTCATTATTGTATTCGTAATCAGCATGATTACCCCCCTGTGCCAATTCCCAGCCCCGTAGCTCAAATTTTGCAAAAAATCGATAAAATCGATATCGATCGATGACGAAAAGTAGCTTATGACACCCGCTGGGACCCGAAGTGTACGTGTGCCAAGTTTGGTCCGGATCGGTTCAGAAATGGAATTTTCTATTTGGAACACACGTACATAAATACAAACAGACATTCAGCTTCATATATAAGATTAGTCGTAATCTTTTCTTAACGTTCAAATAAGGCAGCAGCGAGTTGGTATTCTTGAATCAAGAAACTGCACCGAGTAACCCTACTATCAGTTAAGCCCTAGAACTAGATCTTGCATTTGACTTTTTACTCAACAAAAACCTTCATATCCTCGCCCAGAAGCCCGCAGCAGATATCGAAGACAGTTTTGGAATCAGCGTTCCGAGCTCTATAAGACAGTTCACATTTCATCCTGAAAGGTTACTTCGGCCAACATTCCTTCCCTTGTCAGGCTCAAAATAATTCTTGCAGAACCTACACGCCTACTCAAAGTATCATTCTTCTGTGAACTTTGCAACGCTTCGACTCTATCTCTTTGCGTCTACTAAATGTAAAGGCAGTCGTATTGAGTATGGTGACTAACATAAAGGCTGCCGCCACAAGTCAAGCAGCTTAGGTCCTCGCGACCGTCTTGCTCTGGCCTTGCGCTGCGTTAATGTATTTTTCAGGTATTTTGACATGCAAGAGGTGAGTAAGCTGGCAAGGCAAGTGGAGATCTTGGGATGAAGGGATTAATGGTGCCATCACGTGCTGCCTTGAAAGACTGTTGGTCCTTCACATGCTTATGCAAACTGTTTAAGGATTCGCTCAATAACGGCTTTGCTTCTTCACCCAAGTTAGAGCTTGAAAGTATCTGCGCATAATATCGCATCTCAACTGCTACAGGGGTGATTTCCAGAACATAGCCCACCACTCTAAATGAATTATGCGTAAGGTCCTGGCCAGACTTCGCTCAAAAGCGCCCAAAAGCACTCAAAAGCGCTCAAAAGCGCCCAAAGTGCCCAAATTTCTCTGATGTCTCTTCACTCTCTCGTGTGAGGAGAGTTAAGAGAAAGTGAGGATAGGTTAGAAAAGTTTGGGCTCTTTTGGGCGCTTTTGAGCGCATTTAAGCGAATTCTGGCCAGGGCCTAAGACTTGTCCTCATCAAGTTCTGGCATGACTCGCGGTTGCTTCAAAAAGGGAACTTTGCTAGCCATTCTGTCATATGATCATTCAATTGTATGACTGACCGATCGGGGACATACTTGCACCCAGTGTAACAGCTGAGGCTTACTTTGGACATCGGATGTTTGAATAAATGGTCTTCAGTCTTATATATAAAGCTGAATGTCTGTTTGTATGTATGTTTGTATGTATGTCTGTATGTATGTCTGTATGTATGTCTGTATGTCTGTATGTACGTATGTTCCGAATAGAAAATTCCATTTCTGAACCGATCGGGATCAGACTTAGCACACATACACTTCGGGCCCCGGAGGGTGTCATAGGCTACTTTTCATATCGATCGATATCGATTTTATCGTTTTTTTGCAAAATTTGAGCTACAGGGCTGGGAGTTGGCACAGAGGGGTAATCGAGCATGCTGATCACCCCCGTGGGGGTGATCAGCATGCTCGATTACACCCCTCTGCCAAATTCCTGCCCCCTAAGCCAGCTAGTATCGAATATTTAGATATGCACTTCTTCCACCCCTCGAATTTTCGAATATTGAGAGATTGTTTTCCGCAATGGTTTGAATATGCGAATTAAATGAGTTATTTTTACGAACCGTCGTATAAACAAATTTTCGAATAAAGGCCTTTTTCATATCATTACCTATATGATATTTTGATAATCATTTTTTTAATGGTCGGCCTGAAATGGTATAAAGAATCAAGGGATTTGGATTGTGCACACATGAACTTCGGCGTGAGGCGAATGCCACTAAGCTTTTTCACCGAGAATTATTGAGTGGAGCTATTGATTTATCGACTTTTGGCGTTTTTCGCTAATTTCGTTATGATCAGCCTAAAATGTTTGTTGAAGTCAAACGAAACTTTGTACACATTAACTTTTAGGTGGAGCAGGTGTTATCAAGTTTTTCCATCAATTAGTAATTCGTGCAATAGCAAATTTTCTGCAAAATTTCACATTTCCGCACTATAAAGTATCAGACGAACCTGCCCGCAGCGGCAGAGAGCGGCTGGTAATGGACTATTCGAATATGTCGAATAAATATTTTTTGGATATTAGACTATTCAAATATTCGAATAGTCGAGTATTTAGAATAAATCATTCGAATACGAATATTCGGCTTCAACTATACATGTGATAAAGCATTTTTGTGAAATCCTCATATGTAAGTTATTTCAGTACTCGGAACAACCATGTTGCAGTTCCCTGCGTTCTCACATACTCTTCCCAGGTAAGATACACATCCAAAAAGTTGATCTGAATTCTTTGACCTGAATTCACACTTTTTGTGTGAGCATAACCGTAAAATACAACGCTTATTTATCGTTGTTTGATAAAGTAAACTTCAACCAAACTTCGATCACCAAAGAAATCTTTCTGAGCCATAAGAGTGGCAGAACTATCGTAATATCGACTGAAGTTTGAATGTAGCTTAGAAACTAATACTTCGTGCACAGGCGGCTCACTGAATCTCCAACTCACTTTGTTGAGTATTTACAAAGTTAGCTTTTACAGCAGAGTTGGAGAAGCAGGCAAAAGTGCAGTAAAACAGTTAGAGCTTTCCGAATTACGCAATCAAGCGGCATAAATCATTTTGTATTGAACATCGAAAGACCTTACTAACCATTAGCGTAAATGAATGGTTTTTGGTTCTGCTTACAAAATAGGGCCAGATGACATCGCGGCAACAAAGTCGGATAAAGGAAAGTGAGCGAAACCCAAATGGAAAAGCAAAATCATTTTATCGGTTTATAGTAATTAACATAATCTAAGCATTTACACAATGAAGGTAAATCATCCAAGCATTATGTACTGGGTCGTTTCATAAGTTCGTACAAAATTTCGCCAAAGTTCAGTTGCTAGAGCATGTCCCGTTGTTGCGCACAACCTTCTGCCACCTTGTACTTAGATTTTCAACTGCGATTTTTTCTCAAGACTCAATGCCTCAAGTCTCAAAAAAGTCGTCTCACCACCGCCTGAGATCGGCTAGTATGAGAGCGGCACAAATGATCATTTGGTGGGGCGCGATTAAAAGAGTGCAGTGGATACCAATGTACCTCCCAATCAAGTCTTGCAGGGCAGTTTTGACGACTTTCGCCGTTCTAGCATTATTTTACCATGCAGAAAAACTACCTGGAGCTGTATTCTGAGTCATTTGTGCAGTAGGGATTCGTTTAGACCGTGCGATCGGGTTGAGTACGATATCGTTTCTATTTTTCCCCAGCACTTTTCAGTGCAAGACATCCTGCACATACCACAAAAAGTCTTGTTCAAAACACCCTGTTTTGACCCGTCGTTCTAAAAGCAGTAATCATCAGTTTTTTTCGTATTGATGGGCAAACGCCGTTTTCCATAATCGGCAAAAAATCCATGCAAAAACACTTCCTTATAAGAAAAAACTTAGCAAATATTTGCTTTTTTTCTTTGAAAAATTTATTTTTGAATGCGTAAAATCGAAGTGGGTCAGCTAGTGGTTCACCGAAATCATCAGGTTCATTGTTAAGAGCCTCTCAAAGAAATGAGGACGAGAATGAAAACGATACGAACTAACGATACGAACTTATGAAACGATCTAATGATCAGTAGAGGTCGATGCTAAGAGATCGATCGTTAAGACTTACCAGTCGCATGTGGCCGTGGAATGTTGCGGGACCTAGGAAAGAAACAGGCAACATGAAAGCGTAGCCTGAAAGTGTATAAATTTACTTTCGTCAATAGATGTAGAATCCCTTCGCAGGCTGGGCTCATGTTGAGCGCACTTCACGATTTAGTTTGATTATCTCCCATATTATCACAATCAGTGTACCCAAACCAGTAATCCATTCTTTTAACGTGAGTGATCTTGCTACTCTTTGCCAATTGGAAGTGCCAACCTTCTTCGAAATTCACTTCTCCATCTCATCCTTGGTCGTTCTACTGGACGATTTTGAAATGGTCGCTATTCCATTAGTTCTTTTGACCATGATCTCATTTCTGTTGGCGTATTTCCAAGCATAAATCCATCTCCTTTTCTTGATGCCAGTCGCCAAGTCTTTTCATTTGGTAAGGCCACGTAACCATAAATCCTTGTCTATTAGGCGACTGCCAACCATTCTCCGTTCTATACGTTTTCCAGCAGCACTAAGCTGTTGCTCTATCTTCATCGTCATTGTCCATGTTGCCGAGTGAAATAGTATGCTCAAGATAAATATAAGATTTTCCACTTGACCATCTTTGTGCCTCCCATACTGATTTTTACTGGCGTACGTGCAACTAGTTTGGTTTTCAAAGGATTGATCTTGAGACCGCTCTTGCATGAATGAATATCCAGATTATTTATCATCTTGTAATTCACCTTTACATTCTGCAAACAAGAATATATCATCAGCAAAACATTTGTGAGCCAATCACCATTTATGTAATAAACATAGTTGTTCCAGCTGGTTTTTTTTAAAACGTGTTCAAGTGTAGCCGTGAACAACTTGGGTGAAAATAGATATCTTTGTCTCACTCCACCCTCAACATTTTACTGATGCCTTCATCGACCTTTGCGGTAGATTTTGATCTTCGTGTAGACTTGACGAAGAAGAATGCTGCCAGTAAACTCCTTGCTCTAAGAGAAATCTAAAGTCCATTCATTCCAACGGTGTCGAAAGCTTTTTCATAATCTACAGATACCATCAAAAGTGGGAAATTGTACTCACTTGTGCGTTAAATCAGTTCATTGATAGCATGGATTTGATCAACCGTTGAATAATTTTTACGGAAATCTGCTTGTTCTCGTGGTTGCTCTTGGTCAGAATTTTTTCTAGTTCAAGCAGCTTATAAAGAACCGGAAGCAAAGGGGTTGGGCGGTAGTTGCGTAATTTATCCGAATTTCCCTTTTTGTAGAGTAAGATGGTTACTGAATTTGCCATCTTAGTTGGCACTGTGCAGGAGTAGAGACATTAATTGGATAGCTGTGTTATTAAGTGAATAAGACGTTTTTTTCCTTGCTTGATCATCTCTCCCTTGATGCAGTCATGTCCGGGTAATTAGCCCCTTTCATCGAATTCAGTGCCATGGTTATTTCATCTTGTAACAATGGATGGCAGGTCTCTTGTGAGTTGTGTAGAGCGTATGACATCGACAACTCGAGCACATATTCTTTCGAAATAAGAACTAACTATACAGCAAATTTCTGATCGTGCTATATATCTTCCCCTTCTCATCGCTTATTTTAAAGAGGCGGTGACATCTATATGACAATTCTCCCTTCACTTTTCTCAGGCTACTTCATGACCGTATAGGTTCCTCTAGTGTTTGCAATAATGAGAGCATATGTCAGCTTCTATCATTCTTCTCTACAATTTGCAACATTCGGCTTAGGCAACGTTGATTAGTCTAAACATCATTTTTTTCATTTCTTAACTATTCTTCATCATGAGGTAATTTCTTCCGAAATACAGCTGCAAACGACTGTGTTGCGTTGGTGATATATTTGTATAGTTCTTCATAACCATCTGCCGGAGGTCATAGAAAGGAAGGGCATTTGATAGAGATCTCTTGCTTGTAGAGCTCTCAGTTCACACGTCTTTGAGTTTTGGATCTTTCTTCCTTAGTTTATCTGAGCTTGGCCAATAAATCTTTCCTCGTAAAAGAAGTAATCGGTTTCATAATTTAGGATCCAGTTCCCCGTACATTGGATATGTTTAAAAGAATGGATGTGATTGATACAGCTGAAAGTTTCATCATCATGTGATTTCCAAGTTCATCTGCGTCCTTTACGAGTTTGGAAGAAGGTGAACATTGCACGGAGACTGTCTCGCAGAATTTAATGATCGTTTGTCTTCGAGCGTTCCTATCTGTGTTATAACCGCAGCACTATTGAAGTCTCGATATGGTTCAGTCGTCTACCAAGTTTTGCGTGAGGGTCTCCAGTACAGTTGTATGTACTTCTGACTCACTATTCTTGGAACTCATGCGGCACGTTCTCTTGCTATGGACTAAGCATTTCTGAAGAACTGTTTCTGCTTGGTCTGTCGTTGCTCGTCTTCGTAGTCCTCATTTGCTTTGGGAGATACGTACGTAGAGAAAAATCTGTTAATGATTCCACCTATCTTCACATCCAAACTTGAGATTCTTTCACTTTCTTGGATAAAGGCTGATACGTAAAATAAAATTCGATCACTTACGAGAAAGCCTGTGCCGGAGGGTCGTTGCGCATGTTCGGGACCAGTAATAAAATCGTTCGAATGTGGTAGATCAGTACATCCAGACCCCCTCACGTAGTTCCGTTAGGGCCAGTACATCCAGTCGTGTGTTCTTCAAGGTTTCTTGCAGTTCTAGATGTCGGCTTCATCCGACAGACGTCTCATTCCAATGATTTCAACGTGTATACAGTCGTGGTTAAGGTCATTCTTGATCTTGCTTTTCCGAGGCTTTCTGGATCAAGGGGTTTGACGTCCGGAGGGGCGAGGAAGAGGGTCAAAATGACCGATTCGTCGAGGAACGTGTACAGGATGAACCCCATTTCAATGATGCTGCTGTAAAAAGGGTTGTGCAGCGTGTAAAAAAAGTGTATCGGTACTCCCAATAAACACATGTATTTTTCGTATTTAGATTCTACAACTACGGATACATTGGTGGTATCATAGCTCACGAGATGATGCACGCATATGATATAAAATGTAAGGCGCTTTGGTTCGTTTGTAGAAAGATTTTATATTCAAAATCAACTATCGTTTGTTCATCAGTTATCAACTCACTGTTGCCCATGTTGAGAGCTACACCTCATCCCGCTTTCACCTCATTCAGAAGTAAATCGTTACAATTCATTCACATTTTGACGTTTTTTTCGCGTTTGTTTTCACCATCCTTTGTGCTAAAGCTATTTTGTAAAGCTTGCTTTGCTTTGTGACATATTTGTTGCCTTTTAAATATACTCTGCGTTAAATTTTCACCAGCAGAGTTGCGTTGGGGAGTTCTATTTGGCAAAAAAGAATGATTCAAGTTGAAAAAAGGTTTAATAGCATTGATTATCAGCCCTTTGTTTGACTTTTGCAACCCTCTGTCAATGTTCGGTTATAGCTCAATCAGACTGCACCACTTACTGAAATCAAACTTGACCCGTTATTGTAATTTCGTGAACAGGATGGAGGGGAGAAAGATCTCATTCATTCCTCCGTTTGTTGTATATAATGGTACTTTGAATTACAAATTAAGGCTGCACAAAGGTAGATAATTTGAAGCTTTATGATCTCCAACAGCGATTTGGACAATTTTTGATACGTCATGTAAATTATGAACAAGGTGCAGTGGGTCTGTTTGAGCTTACGAGGGAAATGGTCAGAAATCGAAGTGGCTAATCCAGACAAGCTGCATACCATTAAATGCAGCATGAAGCGCTGACTCTAATTCTGTCTTCCTTACCTGCTTTTCGCTTTTCTGGATGAAGCTATAAGCCATTAAAAACCATTATTTTGCTAAGAAATTATGCGTGAAATTGAAAATTTAAGCGTACAGTGCCACGCTCGCCTTAATGCTGGGCCAAAACACGCAGCTAGCTTACTTCAGATTTTTAAAACCAGAAGCTGAGCTAAAAGTGCAATGCGCTTAAATTCGCTATTTTTACGTGTGATTTTTTCACAATAAAACCGCTTGTAGCTTCGTCCACAGAAGCGATAAGCAGATAAGGAAGACAGATTTGAAATTAGCGTTTTATACTGCGTCGGATGATATACAGCTTGTTTGGTTTGGCCACTTCGACCTTCTGACTAGTAGATGGAAATGCCAACGCTTTTTCAAAAGGTAAACTTCAGTCAAGATAATTCATTGATTTCCGTGCTATCCGCAACATTGCTATTGGGTTGTGTAATAAGTTCGTTCGCATTTTTTGTTTTAGTTTTTTCTTAATATGCAAAGCTTTCCACGGATCTCCCTCATAAAGGGATCATAGGTCGCAAGGCCACGTGGGTCGTCCCCAGGTGCCGGACGGGGAGTTAATCGCCGACCAAAAGCGACCCCAGCGCTTGCTCCGAAAAGCAAGCGGAGCCGGGGGACGGACTCCCTGCCTCCACTAAAAGATTGCACTGTAATTTCCCGGGTAGGTGTGTGGGGAGATGAGTTCAGAGTCACCTCTAACAAATAAGCTCCGACCGTCTCTCGTGGGGTTTTGAGCACAAGCTATCCCTGAGATCAAAATCTTGTTTGACATAGTTATAAATGAAAAGCTTTTTCAATCTTGGAAGAGCCACTGGTAAGGCAGCGCCAGTGGGGACAACGTTTGAAAGGCGTTCTAGGCTGCCGAAAACGAGACGGATAATGATGATGATCTGTACTTACAACGCAAGGACGCTGGCATCGGACGCATCTATCGAAGACCTCATAATGCAAGCAAGAAAGACCAAGTACGACGTTATCAGACTGACCGAGACAAGGAGGCACCACCCGCTGAATGCCACATTTGAGACTGGAGAAGAATTGTTCCTAGAAACACGCGACAGTCGAGGAGTAGGAGAAATGGGAGTCCTTGTCAACATGAGTTTGGCCATGAACATTGATTCTTTCGAACGACTCACAACTCTAATCGGACGTTTGCGAATACCAAGATGCTAATTAATACTTACCTTAACCGTCTTCATTGCTTACGCTCCAACATCCAGCTACAACGAGGACGAAATTAAGGCATTTTATTAATTAGACTGTAAACTACGTTTTGCAACTGGTTCCATAAATTCACTCTCTTTGGATATGGCGCGCTCAAACTTTGGCATTATGTAGAGATTAATGTGTGCTACAAGTAGGCACAAATTGTTCAAATTTTGAACACGAAATAGAAAAATTCAGGCATTTTTCGAAAACTAGTGAAATTTGAGAATATTTGGGGTTTCAAGCGAAAATGAAGTTTTTGGCAGCCTAGACCATGCGCAGTATCCGGATTCGTCTACAATTTATTGCTAAAGGTTGACTCCTTTGGCCTAATGAGAAAGAGACAAAATTTAGGGGCATGTCGAGATTTGATGTCGAACGAGTCAATGTACGCAAGAGCTGCTGGGGACGACCGTCAATGACTAGAAAGTCCGAAGCTCAAATTCCGCCGAGACTTTACATAGTAGGGTTATTTGGTCTGCTAAACACGAATATCATATTCATTTGTTGAATCAACGCCTCTTTGCTTGTTTAGGGTGAGACCACATATCGTACAACTACACTAATCTTACAAAAAAGCCGTTAGCACGCAACTTCAGTATCATTTTCGTGATCAGCATGTCGAATAACTCCCCTATTTCAAGTTTCAGCCAAATCCGTCAATTTTTAAAGTTTTTCCCTTCATACCATATACCTACCGTAACTGTCATTGTTTAGGCAGAATAGCAGCTGCACTAGTGATTACGTAATAGCCTACACAATGGCAAAATTTGGATGCCTCACGTTGGGAGAGAATGAATTTATGAAACCAGTTGCAAAACTTAGTTTACAGCCTAATATATGGACTTGGAGAAGTTCTACAGAGAAGATCATGCCTTTTACAAGATCATCGTGGTGACTTCAACGCGAAGATTGGAGCTGGAAGGTCGACTGCAGAACTTAAAATCGGAACCCGTGGTTTACAATGGAACAAACAAGGGGAGAGATTGTTCCCTTGTTTGTTCCGCTGTAAAGTGATAAATTTAGGGCCGCATGCACTAACATGGCCGCGGGGAGGGGATCGCAGCTTAAAAGAAAGCTTCATATTTCGAAACTCCAGATACTTGGATTTCACGTTCTGTACCTATCCGTAAGTCTTCCTACTATCCTTCACTATGAACATGTTGAACAGGAGCGAGAAGCTGTACAAACCTCATTTTCCATCTTTTGTACGATCCCTGATGATCCCCGGCGCTTTTCTTTAAAGTCATTTTTCTTTCTCCGAAGTTAACGAAAAACTTCCAAAGTTGTGCAGATTATCTAACCCAACAGTGCTAAGCATGTTGCTGATAAGAACAAATGATGTTTTGAAGTCATGAAATTTTCGATGATCCACAGGTCGAAATTTGGGGTGTACCGAAAAATTCGATTTTTCAAAAATTCGTTTGTTCTCATCAGCAACATGCTTAGCACTGTTGTGTTAGGTGTTCAGTATAACTTTGGAAGGTTTTCGTTAACTTCGGAGAAAGAAAAATGACTTTGAAGAATAGATGTTCGTCCCCCAGGGATCATCAGGAGATCCTACAAAGAGCTGGGAAATGCGGCTTGTACAGCTTCTCGCTTCTGCTCAATATGTTCATAGTGAAGGATGGTGAGAGCACTTACGGACAGGTAGACAGCGTGAAATCCAGATATCCGGAGCTTCATGATATGAAGCTTTCTTCTGAAGCTGCGATCCCCTCCCCAGCGGAAATGTTAGTGCATGCGGCCCTTAGTTTATCATTACGACGAGGACTATCCATGGAAACTCACAGTTTTAGAAGCCCTCTTCCCGACAGTGGACCTATGAATTGCCCGGTGGAGAGTACCATAACGAAATTGATTACATCATCGTTAACAGAAAGTACTGCATGACGGACGTCGCTGTTGTTCCGAAGTTTCTACGGGATCAGACCATCGTCTCCTACGCGTCAAATTCTACTTTTCGCGAAATGGAGAGAAAGCCGTTGAGTTCAGGAAACATCGTCCTATGAATACCATCAATTGGGATCTGTTTTTTCCGATATCCGGCTCATGGCCAGATACCACGATGGACAACATCAACGAAGACTACGAACGGTTCGTGCAACATTTCCACGATTGTGCCAAGGAAGCTCAAAGTCTAAGAAGCACAAGGCGTCTCACTATGGAGACTTTGGAGTTGATACACCAACGTGGACGCGCACGATCCACAGGCAACTACCGGCTGACGCCGAGCTTGCGAAGCGATGCAGAGAAGCAATAAAAGAAGACCTCAAGGAGAGAAGAGTAGCAGTGATGGTTGGCGTCGCGGAGGCTGGAAGAAGTATACGCACCTCGCGCGCCGAAGCTTCGTTAACTTCAAGACAAAAATGACTGCACTTCGTCGTCCTGACGGAACCATAACTGCTTCCCGAAGATCAATGGAGAAGGTCATCCACGACTTCTACTCGGATCTTTTTGCGAGCCACGTCCACCTTCCACCATGCCATCTCCGCCTGTTCTTCCTCTCGTAATTTGTCATGCTATCGTGTCGATGAAGAACCGTACAACATCCGGTCCCGACAAGGTTGAGCCAGAACATCTGAAGAATCTTTCGGCAGTTCCTATCAAGACGGCAAGGCTTTTTACGCGGTCCCTCATGGAAGGCAAGGTTCCAAGACAAAGAAAGACCAGCAAAATTGTGTTGCTGTACAGGAAGGGAGATCCCTGCGACATCGGCAATCATCGCCCTATATCCCTGTTGCCTGTCTACAAACTTTTTACGTGAGTTACCCTCAACAGAATTGGAAGAGAATTAAACGAAGGACAACCGTGCGAGCAAGCTGAGTTTCGAAGAGGATTCAGCACGAAAGACCACATACACACGTGTCAAGTCTCATTAAAGTGCACGAAAGTATAAAATGCCGCTCTGTCTCACTTCCATCGACTTGATGAGCCTTTGACTTGGTTGAGACTGAACCCATCATCGATGCCTTGAACAATCAAGGTATCCCTACTCAGTACATCAAGAAAGTTCGTGAGCTGTATAACGATTCCAACCAAGGACATCACCATCGACTGAAAAGAGGCGTGCGACAAGGCGATATTACATCGCCGAATCTATTCAGTGCCGTTCTGGGGCCGTGCGTAAGTTGGAATGGGACAATATGGGAGTGAAAGTCGACAGCCGGCGATTACATCACCTTCACTTTGCTGATTACATCGTATTGATTTGATTTCTTGTACAAAATTTGCTGAATTTCGCAGTTGAAAAAAAATAGACGTTTTACAAACTATCAAGGTTGTCGAGTTTGATAGCGGTTACATCTTCTCTATTTTTTGACTTCGCGGCAAGCCGTTTGAGGATACTAAAGTTGGTGAGCTCCCTGCCTTGAGGTCCCCCCTGCCCGTTCGCATGGGTCCCTGACGGATTCGTCCGTTCTGGGTTAAGTTGGTCAGCCATGCCCCGGTAAGTATTACCAGCCAATCGCGTCCGGAAATGGGAAAAGGATCTCGGCAGAGCCCCCCTCACCTTCAATGGATGGGAACGACCTGGTCAGCCCAGCAAGGAGATGTGATCGAAAATTCATTCATTGGTTATTTTTTTCCTGATCAAATTTTGGCGCACTTGTTTGTATTTAAATAAATAAATAAATAATAGCACCAAGCATCACGCAAGCGGAACAAATGCTGGCCCAGTTTGACGAAGTAATGTGGAAAGATCGGTCTACTGCTAAGTCTAGCGAAGACGATGTTCATGAGGAACGGAATAGTGCCTGATGCTCTTTTCATGCTCAACGGGACGAACATCACCAAATGCTCAAGCTACACTTATTTAGGTCGTGAACTCAATATGATGAACGATCTAGCCTAAGTGAGCAGGAGGAAATGTGCAGCATGAGGAGCACATAAGATAATTGAGAACGTAGTAAAGAGGATCAAGAACATCCGGCTCTGCTCCCATCTTTTCAACTCACGCAAGTGAGGCAAGGACTACGAGGTTCTACCCTACGTCAACGATCGAAGATCAGGGACGCTGCCGCGTACGCCAAGCAGAACAAGATAAGATGGGCCGGGCACGTAATGCGTTTCGACGACAACCGGTGGACGAGAGCTGTAACAGATTGGATACCACTGCGCGTCAAACGCGAACGAGGAAGACCGCCGACGCAATGGTCAGATATGTTCGCGAAGTCCTCTAATGAAGTTTTGAGCGTTCCACGTGTTCCTGGTGCTATACGTAAAACTGGTCAACAATCACCCGAGACAGGGACGAATGGAGGCATCAGTGGTACCTGCTCGTGTGACACGATCAACGGGGATACAGGTGATACAGGTGAATGCAAAGCGTTTAGCGAGATGCTTGTATGCGTTGGAAAGCTCCAAGTCTGCTTCCCAAGCAATTACCATTATTTTCTTCTTTCTCAAGAAATTAATCGAAAAATTCGACTGGAAACCTAAAAGTCCGAGAAGGTTAAAATTCCATTTTCGACATCTTTTTTTTCTTCTAAGTCTCAAAAAACCTGAAAACAACTGAAAACAAGAGACTAATCACTTATGCACTTACTGCCAGTGTTTATACTTGTTCACGTCATCTCACCGACCCTCTGATGCCATCTTTGCAACAGTCGCCGGAGCAAGACTTTGTCGCAAAGATTCTCGTAGAGCAGACTTAGAGCTTTTGGATGCATACAAATTTTTTGCCCGATGTTTTGTAAGATACTGAGAAAGGGCTGAAACAAAAACATGTGAACGAACTTATTACACAACCTAATATCTATTTTGGAGAATTCCCAAGGAAGGAGGGGGAGGGGGAATTCGTTTGTTGTTTCCTGCGACAAGCAATGCTTAAAGACCTAGCGCTTACAACCGCTTGTGCCGTGGTGCTCAAACAAGATGCAACAATTGATCTTCACACAGCCAGTACCTTTTCGACGATTATCTCCGGTGCTAAATCCGTCGTCCTTTACCGTGTATCCACTCGTTTCAGCGCGAGGCGGGAAAAGCGGCGTTGCCCAATCGGTTCATGTCCAATAAAGTTGTGGGCAAAAGTGGAAATGTAATTCTTAGGACCGCATGCATCAACATCCCTGCCGGGAAAAAGATCGCAGCTTAAAGGAAATCTTTATATTTTGAAGCTCCAAATATCTGGATTTCACGTTGTTTACCTATCTGTAAGTATTGCTACAATCCTTCACCATGAACATTTGAATAGGAGCGAGAACCTGTACAAGCCGCATTTTCCAACTTTTTGCATGATCCCCTAGTGAACCCCAGCGCCCAACCGTCTTTTCTTCGAGGTTGTTTTTTTTCCTTAGGGTTAATGAAAATGTGCCAAAGTTTCACTGAATTTCTAAGCAAACAGTGCTAATCTGTTTCTGATAAGAACAAATGATGTGTTGGAATCACAAAATTTGCGAACCACTAGTCGAAGGTTTGGCAACTTTGGAACGTTACATCTAAATTTGATGAAAGAAAAATAACTTTGAAGAAAAGACGGTCGGGCGCTGGGGATCATCAGGAAATCATAAAAAAAGACGGAATATTCGACTTGTACAGCTTTTTGCTCCCGTTCAAGGTGTCCATAGTGAGGATGGTGGGAGTACTTACGGGTAGGTAGGCAGCGTGAAGCTCAAATGTCTGGAGCTTTAGGATATGAAGCTTTCTTCTGAAGCTGTGATCTCCTTCCCCGCGGGAATGTTAATGCATGCGGCTCGATGTTCGTCACTCCGCATGCGAAAATCGTAAGTAGTCGATGTACATTTGCACTTGAAAAAATGATATGAATTAGTCGTATTTTTCATAGGACTTGTTATATCTTGATTGACAGGGGATTCCAATATAAGCGTCACGGTCGGCGTAGCTCGGGTCCTCGCGAGCTGCATCGCTTTGGCCTTCGACGCGTTCGCGAACGTGTCTCGAGGTTGCTACTTTTGAAAGCTAAGATCATTCTTTGCGCAAGCTAAGTACAAATGAGAAGTTAAAGAAATACAAAAAGTTAAGTTAATAAATGCTCGGAAGTGTGTAAAGCAATTAGAGAATAACGTATGTTATACCATGATAGGACTACACTACTTGCAACTCACTATATTACAGCGATGTCAAAACTTTCAGTTATCCGCTACAATGAAAATGGTGATCGACTACCCTCCTGGCTGCCTGCCAACTTTACCAAATCTCATCTTTCAAAAATGAATTTGATGCAAAAAATGTATGAGAGGCCTTTGAATGTAAGTTTTCGTAAGATTCTTTCTTGTAAAACCGTGCACCAAATTTTACTACAGAGATTAGGTTACGATGCACAGGAATACACAAAACAAGAGAATTTCGCGGATATTCACGGAATAAGATTGGCTTACAGGGCAAGCTTTGTTATTCGTTTTACACACAGGTTTCGGCTTTATGCAATACCTTCACTTAATTTACGCCGACTGAACTCGTGAAATTGAAAACTAAGATTCTACATTCAGTGATCATTAAATGTGGTTCCCAATCACAAGATACAATGCACGGTAGCATAATTCAAATATTTGATTTTTTGTCAAGTGCTTTACTGATGAAGATTATTTAGTAACTGAGATGTCTAGTCTAACGTTTTGAAAAAAAACCAGATTGTGAAATCGAATATTTCAACAAGATTATGTTCGAAAGTGAAATCAAATCGAATATTTAATACATTCGACAGTTTGAATTCCCTAAAGAAAAAATTACAAAATTTCAATTTTTAATTGTCCAATGTAGCTGTTAAAGATCCAATGTAGTATCATCGTTATGTTAGGTATCGTAAGTGCAAATCAGTGCACAGTGCCAGAAGGAATTGCCTGGGAAGACAAACCTTCTTTAAATCCAAGAAGGGCAAGCCGCTTAATCAAATCGTCAAAGTGCAGATGGAGCATGGGAACGGATGAGTAAAATCGGGTTGAAGACATGCGCTGTCATATCCTTGCATTCACAGAAAAGCTGTTCAAGAAGTTGGTGCGGGAAAGAGTCAATCAGGCTCTGCGGATGTCTTTAGTGATGATAGCGTCAGGTATAAATAAGTCAAGTCCGAGCTGCATACGCACAGCTTTTATAGCAACGAATACATCTAGATTTTTCGTACAAGGCTTCTTCGCATTGATGTTGAATGTAGTACGTTATTTATGGAGATTTCTTCTCAAAATTCATATTTTACTAAAGTCCTCTACTCACTTATTTGCTATTTAGTCATTTTTTCATTATCAATTATCAACTCAAAGACTATAACCTAATAAGCAATCGATGGTACAATGGTATGGTATCGATGGCATGTATACATCTAAGGCAGTCATAAAAATTTACGAAGATTACTGAATTTTTTGCTTAAATGTATTTTCAATCAGCTCCCAAGCTTTATCTCCCATATCAATTCTATCTCTCAGTCGTAAGCGGTTTTCTAAGGTTAAAATACAATCGCCGTAAGCGGATTACTATAACATCTTGCTAAAATTTATCAAGTAGAATCGTTCATTGCAATTACTTCCATTGATAAGCTTTAGTTTTATACTTCTTGCCTCCTTCTTGATTGATTAGATCAGATTTAGCTTTATATTGTTTTTCTTGCTAAACTCTCCGATTGTACCTCCTTTAATAGATTGTTTTGTAAGCTGGGTCAAGCCTATGCAAAATTTATGATTGCTGACGTTTCGCTGGAAGGCTCTTCAAGTGAAGTGTATTGTTGCATCCTGGTCATTAGCAAATGTACATAGAATCTTATTTTTACGTCAAATACAATTCCGGTGACAGGCTGCCAATTTTACTTTCTAACCATTTTTGTAAGTCTGAAACATATCAACAAATATATCGTCTGATCCTCAAGAGCTCCCTGTAGTTATCTCTGTAGTACCGCACACGCATTCATTTTATTGCATTTCGCTTAGAACTTTGCAGTAAACAATCTATTATTCCTCCAAAATGTGTTGAAAGTAAAAAAGGCCAGAAACCCGAGAGGGCGAGCAGTGGCGTTAGCTGAGCTGTTCAAAGCGATTCCCTAATTGCATATGCGTGTTATCGCAAATACTTGTTTGAGATGGGCTTGAATTTACTAGTACAAACCCCAACGAAAATTGGCGAAACTCATCCTTACCTTCAGGGTAAACTTTAGGAACAAAACAAAGAAGGCGAAAAACAATCTTTTAGTGGTAAACAAAATGCAGTGAACACCCTATTTGCTAACATGTATCTAGCTCATAGTTGCGATAGGGGGAGTGATGGATCTCACCCCATTCACTTTGAGGCCAAAATCCAGATGACACCCTTCAACTGGGCTGAGATTGGTATTGTACTCTGAGAATATAAAATAAAAATCGTTATCAAAAAGTTTTGCAGGCTAAGTACCTCAAACACCAAGTATCATAAATCTACAAAAGAAACGGTATTTATGTTAATTCATAGCATTTATTTATTAAAAAAAGCATTCACAGAAGCACAAACTCTTTCCGAGCATTCATAAATACGTCCCTGAGCGTGACAGTTCCATGAAAATTAATCAATCTTATTTTAGTAATATAATCAACACTTCTTTGTTCAAAGCTACAACTCTGTCGGGTATATTGCGACGGTAAGTGAGGACACAACATCAGTTAATTTTTAAAGTACATAAAATCCCTCATATCTCGCGGCACAGAAGATCTAGAAAAAAGCCGAAGGTCTACGTCGATTCTCCATGATCTCAGCTTTCGAATGGTATACAGCATGTTAGGGCTTCTTTGCTTCCCGGCTCAAAAAAGCACTTGCTCCGGTGACCCATAGAAGCCAACACATTGTAAGAGCGAAGTGGAGCAAGCTAATAGTAAAAAATGTGCTGTGAATAGACATCGTTATCACCACTAACGGCAACGCGAGCGGACGCGTCTAATTTTGCGTACTTATCGTTGTTATATGTTTATGTTTCTTTAGTGAAAAGTGTGCTGTTGATGACACTTATCCATCGTTATCAACAACGACAGTTGACGAGGAACCTAAAATATTGCATATGTAAGTCTATAATATGCTGCGGATTGAAAGTTATGCCATTAGATCATCAGATTAACAGCATTGACGGGGAACGTAAGCGAACATTGCATATTTAAGCGTGTTTGTCTGCGGTTATGACACTGTAAAATCGTAATTCTCAACGGCGGTATTTCATAATATTAAAATGAAGCATTTTATTTCTCGATTTATTCTGTTATTTACAGATCCTCGTGTCCTAAATGTATGCCACACAACTTGCACCTGTCCTTCTCGAAATCCTTGCTTGTGTCGTAGATTGCACGGACAACCAACAGGAGAGGAACCCTAGCAGGCCAAAATTTTCAGTGGGAAAGCGATTGTGCAAACCTCGCTTCTCTGAAATATCTACTTTTTACCTGGGAACCGCTGCGCAAGGAAATGACAACGAGTGTGACAAATTCCTTGAGATTGAGTTCCCATTTGAGGAATGTCGGACTTCTCGAAAATTAGTTCTCATGCCGTACACTATAATGGCTTCTGACACCAAGTCCAAGTTCAGCTCCGCTACGGCTCCCCTACTATACTTGGGACCGAATCGAATAATTATTCGATCATTCGAATAAATCATTCGAATGCGAATGATTCGAAAAGTCGAATATTCGAAAATCTGAGATTTCGAATAAAATTCGAAAGCCGAATACTCGAAATTTTCAGTTTTCGAATATATTCGATAGTCGAATATTCGAAAATCTTCATTTTCGAATAATATTCGAGAGTCGAAAATCAAAAATTTCGAATATTATTCGATAGTCCAATATTCGAGGGTCATTCATTCGATCATTCGATGTCCATCAAATATTTGAATATTCGTCGAGCACCGAATATTCGGCAATTCGATAAGAATTGACTATTCGAAAATTCGATAAGCACCAAATATTCGAGAATTCGATATGCATAGCGTATACGGGATGTCTTGAAGGTATCTACACACCGTTTGATCGCTAATACCTCTCAAAGTCTTTTGCCAATTGAGTAACATCCAGTAGGGATGGCTTCAGCTTATAAATACAGCAGAAAGCGAATCACCCATGTTTTTCTTATTGTGTGTTATCGCAATGGAAAACTCCAGCTTATAGACCAAATGCAAAACGAGACATCCAAAAAAATTGCCCCCAAAAAAGGTCTGAAATTTGTGCAGCAGTGTTCTTTCGCATGCTGATTTTACTACGCATGAGTTTTCAAGCTTTTGAAATGGCAATCACATTTTTGAAAGGCGTTGAAAAACACTTGTTACGGTGTATCGTTTGTTCCCCAGCAAATTTCCCATAGGTACCACGTTATCTCGCTGCCTTTCGCTATTTTGAACGTGTTAACCTCAGGCAGTTCCGTTGAAATCTCAGGAGAAACGTGTCAAAAAGAGCGAAAGGCAGCGTCGCACCACGTACGCACGCTGGCTCACATGGAAACTTTTCTTGGGGACACAGGATACCTGGCATAAGTTTTGAAAAAAGCATTACGGTTGAGTGCAAATTCTACATAAAATAAGTGTCTTTAGAAATATAAAGCAAGACTTTCAGCCCTTTTGATTCTTTTTCTGGATATGGCTCTTGATGTTTTGAAACCCGCTTCAGTCTTACGGTAATTTTACAACAGTGAAAAGCGATTGATAAATCGTCTATCTAAGTTGATGTCAGCCTACAGATCTACATACTGTTGGGACCGCTCTATATCCAATCGCAACTCTCAGTGAGGGTATATAATCTTCTTTGAAGTACGAAAAATCTCTTCACAACCGTCACAGGAGTAGCTTTTAGGACCCTAAGTCTCTTCATGTCACGACTAAACCGTTTTTCCATCGCAATATGTACCATAAGAATGTGTCCATTCTTAGCACTTACATGAAACAATTTATTCTTAGTGTTTTGGCCATTCACAAGCAGTCTCAATGACGTAAATTATTCGGTCAGTATTCGAAAATCGAATGATATTCGAAAATCGAATAACATTCGTAAACCGAATATTATTCGAAATTCGAATAACGAATGATATTCGATATTCGAATATTCTTCGATTCGAAATTTTCATTTTCAAATAATATTCGATAGTCGAATATTCAAGAATTTCGATTTTTGAATATTATTCGATATTCGAATATTCGAAATTTTCAACTTTCGAATATATTCGATATTCGAATATTCGAAAAAAATTTCGAATTTCCTCAAGTATATCCCCTACTTTATAGCAGCTTACACAACCGCAAAAATGAGACGTCGTGTCATGGGGAATCAATGCAGTAGGAGTTCACGTTCCAGGAACTTTGACGTCATTTTCACTCATAACTTGGGAGATGCTGCGATGAATCGTATCAGCGGCAAAATCTTGGAGATGGGTTCACGTGTCCAATCGCAAGCAGGAAATCCCTTAGACTACCCAATTATATTTATCCTGATGGAGACCCCGACAGCTAGAGCGGATAAACTCTGACTAAAAG